GTGACGATTTGGTGAGGTAGGCCAAACCGTGCAAACACATTCAGGAGATACTCGATAGTCTTTTCTGATGTGATGTGCTTCATTGGAGCGATTTCCATCCACTTCGAGAAACTGTCGATGAGGACAACGTACAGCTTCCCATCAACTGGGCCAGCGAAATCCAGATGGATTCGCTGCCACGGACCCTTTGCAAACTCCCATGGATGCAGGTCCGTACATGGTGGTTCAGCTCTCTTTTGCCAGCATCCTTGGCATCTTCGCACTTCTGCTTCAACTTCTTTGTCCATGTTTGGCCACCAGACGTGCATCCTGGCCAGCTGCTTCATTCTGACCATTCCTTGATGACCTTCATGTAGTTCTTCAAGAACTCTTTCCCTCAGATTCGGTGGAACTACCACTCGACAGCCCCACATTAGGCATCCTTGCTCCACCGTCAGCTCTGTTTGTCTGACCTTGAACGCATGTAGAGCTTCTCCGACTTTGTCTGGCCATCCCTTGTTTACGAAGTTGACCACTTTTGCGAGCAGCGGGTCTCTTGTCGTCTCACGCTGGATCGCTGCAGCAGTGACTGGGTTGAGAGAACTCAACTGGCCAATCAGGCACACGGTGCATTCATCTTCTGGTGCACTTGAATTCATCACGGAGGTTCCTTTTGGTAGACGCGATAGCCAGTCTGCTACCGGTATCTGTTCAGACCTCCTGACTTCCACGGTGAAGTCGTACTCTGCCATTTTCATTGTCCATCTCTGAATTCGGCTTGCTGCTAACGTTGGCAGTGGCGTTTTGGGACCGATCGCCTGAGCCAGTGGCTTGTTATCGGTCACGAGTTTGAAGTGACGTCCGTACAGAAACTGCTTCAGCCTTTCGAATGCCCAAACGATGCAGAGTCCTTCTTTTTCGATTTGTGAGTACTTCTTTTCATGTTCACTGAGTGATCTCGACACGTACAGCACAGGTCTTTCGGGAACACCCTGCACCAGGACTGCCCCCAGACCATGTGGACTGGCATCGGTGATGACAGTCACCTGTTCCTTCACGTCAAAGTGTCGGAGCACTTCAGCAGATGCCAGGCGGGCTTTGATTCTCGTGAAACTTTCTTCACATTCCTTTGACCACTTCCATTCTTTGTCCTTCTTCAGGAGTTCATTTAGTGGTTTCGCCATCTTCGACAGATTTTCCAGGAACTTGCTGTAAAACGTTACAGCTCCCAAGAACTCACGTAGTTCTCTTTGATTTGTTGGCGCGTTTGCCTCCAGCACCGGCTTCACTCGCTCGGGATCAGGTCGGATTCCGTTTGCACCCAATCGCACTCCCAGATAGCGAACTTCCTTCGCCATGAACTGACACTTTTCCTTCTTGAGGCGCAGACCGTTTGTTTTCAGGATCTGCAGCACTTCATCCAGCCGCTTCAAGGCTTCTTCTTCAGTTTTTCCTGTGATGAGGATGTCGTCCAGCAAACATATGACACCTGGTACTTTCTTCAAGATTCGGTCCATCGCTCTCTGAAAGAGCATTGGAGCTGACGCGACTCCATAGGGGAGCCTCAGCATCCGTTTCAGTCCGAACGGCGTGTTCAGGTAGCACAGTTCCTGACTTTCTTTTGACAACTTCATTTGCAGATAGGCTTGCGACAGATCCACCACAGATACGAACTTCGCAGGTCCGATGGTTGCCAGCAAGTCTTCGGTCTTCGGCAGAGGATGCACCGGTACGTTCAGGTACTGGTTCAGCGTCACTTTGAAGTCGCCACAGAGGCGTACGCTTCCATCTGGTTTGGGCACCACAACCAGTGGTGTTGCCCACTTCGGCGTTGGCTCATCATCTCGGAGATCTTCGATTACTCCCAGCGTCTTCCATCTTTCCAACTCCTTTTCCACTGCATCAGTCAGACTGTAAGGTACTGACCTTGCTGGTTTGAAGACGGGCTCTGCGTCTTTCTTCAGTTCCAGATCAGCTTCCTGACCACTCATTGTTCCCAGTTCATCACTGAAGAGTTCTTCATGTTCCTTCAGCACTTCACTCAGCTTCTTCATATTCTTTTGTGGTTCACGTTTTTCTTTCACTTGACCAACCAGACTTGACCAGTTCAGCTTGATTTCATGCAGCCAGTTCCTTCCGAGGAGGCATGGACCATTTCCTCCCACTACATATACTGGCAGTTTCTTCATTTGACCTTCATACTGCACAACCACTTCTGTCATTCCTCTGACAGATATTTCATGTCCTGTGTACGATGTGAGCTTACATCTGGTATTCTTCAAGTTGAGGCCTTCAGCCTGCGCTTCTGGAATCATGGTTACCGGACAGCCAGTGTCCACAATGAACGTGACGTTCTTCTCGTTGACAGCCATGTTCACTTTGATGGCTTCCTTCCCTTTTGATGTGCTTTGGTACACACACAGATTTTCTTCAACTTCATTATCTTGGTCTTCTTTTTCCACATTCAGCGTTTTTCCATTTCTGCACGCGGCTTCCAGATGTCCTTGTTTCCCACAGTTGTGGCATCTGACGTGGGGTGGTACCCTGCAGAACTTGATCAGGTGGTTCGTTTTCCCACACCTGAAGCAATGTCTCCTTTCAGTTTTCTCCAACTTCCACTTCCTGTTTTCTTCATTGTTTTCATTTTCCCATGTCTTCCCTTGACCATTTTCATTTTTCCATGTCCTCTTATCTTCATGGCTCTTTCTTTCATTTACATTCCATGGTTTCCTTCTTTCCATCAGTGATTCATTTCTTTCTTTGTTATGCCACTTCACCTTGTTCACTGCTTCTTCTTCTGCACTTTTTCCCATTCTTCTTACTTGTTCATTCACTGTTGCGTCAGTTGACCATATCATAATGGCACGCGATAGGGTCAGCACTCTTTCCTTGAGCATTGACTCCTTGACCTTGGAGGATGGGCACGTTGCTAAGAGCTTGTCCCTGATCAGATTGTCCATTTCCGAAGCTTCAAAATTGCATTTTCTTGCTTGCGTTTTCAGTTTGGCTACGTACTCCTCTACCCTACCTCCTTCATATTGCATCATGTTGAAGACATGACGCTCCACCACCGTGTTCACTTGAGGCTTGAAATGCTTTTCCAATTGTGCTCTCAGTTTGACGTATGGGTCGGTTACATCAGCTATATCAGGCAGCGTATCAACAATTTCTTGTACATCCGGGCCAAGAAGATGCAGCACGATGTTCACTTTTTGAGCAGATGATTCAATATTTTGAGCACCCATGTAAATTTCAACTGATTTGATCCATTTACCAAAATCCTCACCTTTTTGCATTCCCGGTGGCGGTGGCAGACTCGTAGCCATTTTAATTTCTTTTTGAGAGTTCAAATACGGAATTTAACCACTTTCACTTGTTTTTCTGGTTTCTTTTTCACTTTCTTTCCTTTTTAACAACTCCTTATATCTTCATTTGCATCGTAATTCAGCTTTTCTTTCCTTGCGACAATTGTTGCGCACTTGTGACATTCCTTTAATCTCCTTTTAGCTCTTATTCATTTTATCTCAGCTTGATCTCACTTTTTGATTTGTTTATCTCATCCTTGTCGCCAATTTTGTTGTGTCGTGAGATTTGTCCGTGCTACTTCATAGCTGAGACTTTATCTTGGGTTAGAGCTTGTATTGCGCAGTCAGTCGCACTACGTCGGACACACAACCTTCACAACAACCAGCCATATATGGGCAACAGAGAGGCCCCGTGAAAAAGGAAGACAACTGACACGTCCTCTAAAACACTGCAATAGCTAAAGTCCTGCCGACCAGCTTGGTCAAGGCAAATACACAACAGAAGCTTGTCACTTGTCATTATGTTGCCCTCTTTGTTTTAGCCTTTTTATGATGACATCACAATTACTTACATCAGTCTCCATTGACCCATCATTGTAAAAGGGAGTGTTGAGATGTTTTGTTACATAACTTTAGATGTGTTACAGATAAAAGCATGAACTTGCCAGCATTTTATGTGGAATTTGGTGTTTTCCATGCCTACTTAATTAAATTATATTTAGATATTATTTTTTTATTTTTTCTTCCCTGTTCCTTAGCACCCCACATCCACCTCAAAATATGCATGTATCCGGAAAAGAGGAAGGGGATGATGAATGAATGGGTGGATTTGCACAAGTTTTTCAGGAAACATGTGCAATACATGTGACAATACACCTATGCATTCATTTTCCCTGTACACCCACTAGTTTATGTGGTACACACAGAGTTTTGGAGATGTTTCAATTTTGTGAAAATGTAGCATGATTTTCAAATCCATTTTTGAACCAAATCACTTGCATGAAAAATCATACCATTTTCTCCTATGGTCAAGAGCAAAACAGTGTCAACTACCACACTGAAGTTTTTATTGAACCTTCTCAAATTAGGAAGTTAATATGACTCAAAGTTTTTCCCATGCAACTGTCCCTTAACACCCCACTGTCCCTTAACACCCCATTTTACGGTACCTAACAAGTAATATTTGTGTAAAATGGCAAAATGAAATTTTTAAACCCCTTATTTTCATTATTGAAGTGCTTTTATGCTTATCATATGTTTTTTACCTGTTGCTTCAGTTTTTGTATTCTTTACATTTAAAAATTGTGAATTGTTATCAAATGTTCTGAAGGTAAAGTACAACAACACTATAGGTATCTGTTGTGGTGCTGAGGATGCCACTAAATGAGAATGATTGTCCAAAAATGGAAGAATGTGTAAAATTTACCTTTTTCTCTTGTAGGTACTTGTGATGTGGAGGAACAAATGTTGTAGTAGAATTACTCAAGTTACATACCTACCTTTGTTGGTAGTCCTTGACTGAAGCTGCTTCTCTCCCTCTGCACATCAAATGCCAGAGAAGCCTGTTTCATTGTCATCAATTGTGATCACTGGTGAAGTGTCTGTTGTTGACCCATTCCACAAACAGATCAGCAAGCCATTGTGCAGTACAAATTGGGTTGACTGATCTCCCTGCAGCCTGCTCTGATTCTGACTGCGTGTCCTCCCTCCCGGCAGATACCTGTTGCCAAGATGCAGCTGTTTGTTCGCGGCCAGGAGCCGCACGTGGTCGATGTGACCGGCGAGGAGACGGTGGGTCAGCTGCGCGCCCAGCTGTGCGCCCTCGAGGGCCTGGCTGCCGACGAGGCGCGCCTCTCGGTGGGCGGCGTGGCGCTCGCCGATGACGTGCTCGTCAACTCGATCCAGGCTGAGGTCGAGCTGGATGTCGGCCTCCTCGGAGGTGAGTGGCGTGCCGCCGCCGTGTGGGACGGGAGACGCCGGCTGGGAGTGGCCGCGGCAGGAGAGTAGCTGGAGTAGTCGGCTAGCACTGGCTTTCAGTAGTGCTTGCAGCTTGTGTAGGATGGATCAGTACAAAGGGAAGAGATGAGTTAGTATGGTTGGCTCATTGCTGTGATCTTAAGTCCATTACCTAGCCACTGTATCGAGAGGCTTATACCTAGTAGTCTACTCCAAGAAAACTACGAGTCTCTAACACCACTTGCAGGTAGTCAATCACTTAACACTGTCACATGTCTACCTTTTCCCAGGCTTTGTCATTCCCCTTGAAAGGCTTGTAGTTGCTTTAGTTTAAGAATTATGGTTTTACCATAATGAGGATGCAAACAACAAGGGGGAGACCCTTTAACTTTTACACATTTTTGAATGAAAATGAAGTAGACGCAAAAGTTACCACCAACATTTAACCATGTTTGGCTACAAGCTAGTAACTCCACAACCTCTCATAATCCACAAGCCACTCATCCAATATAACCGCTTCTAGCTGAGAGAGTTGCATGTGTCCCCAACGTTTGCAGACTGCTTCATCCCAGACATCAACGACGTGCGTACTGCGTATGTAGTGATTCCTTTTCTTGAGGATGAGATGATCCCTACATCTATCACTGATACACTGCAGAATATGCCGTTGGGTAGGCTATTGAGTTCAAGTGACTTGGCAGTTACATGTATTTGCCTAGAAATACGCCTCTCTTTCGATGAAGTCCGCCTTATCTGTGGACGTATTCCTTGGACTCCCCTGTTAAATTGTATTGATTTTCTATACCTTTCTTCGGAGGAACTTGACATTGTTTTCACTCGCATGTCCTTCTTGGATAATTCGGTCGCCTCGCTCAGGTTCCTGACGACAATTTGATGTTTTGCTCACAATCGCCCAATCTTACCAACGCCGTAACCAGGGTTTGGCAACACTGGCCAGAGTTTACGGCACTGATATCAAAGATATCCTTATTTACATCCAGCTAATCTTGTCCAATGATTTTGATAGCGTGAATGATCATGAATGTTACCTGAAAGAAAGAATAAATGAATGCTGAATAGTTCTGAATGTTACCAAATGTCGTGAATGCGCATTCACGGCATTTGGTAAGATTGGGCCCAGGAGCGTCTAAGGACCGTCCTTATTGTAATACTCTGCGTCGCTGAGAAAGCGGATGCTACTTACGCCCGCTTCTTTTCACTGACTGGCAACCAACCACAGTGCGTAGGTGGCCCATTTAGCAAGCGCTGTTGCAAAGCGTCCAAAACTGAAGACGCATCCACATGGACCCGTATCATAAACTAAGATAAGATCTTTCAGGTCCTTTCTATATCAGCTACATTTAGCCTTTGTTGATTGAATTTAGGACGCTCAGTTGCCGGCACTGATACGCGGAAAATTATTTGGATTTTAAGAATATTTCCAATACCGACCCACATGATAGCCGTTATGTTAAATTCAAGTATAGAATATGATCAGGATAAGGCATACGAGATGTTAGAAAATAATAATTCAGTGCGTTTGTTGAGGAGCGCAGCATTGTCTCTTCAGTCTTATGTATCTGCTTTGCTTATCTCCTCGCTTCCTCTCCTTGCTGTCATTTTACGTCTGTCTTCTGTCGTTCTGTGCTCTCTCGCCCGCAATTCTGCGCCGTCTTGCTCGCCGCTGTGTAGCTATGCCGTAGTGTGACCCGCTCCGCCCGTCCCTCCCCTCCAGGCAAGGTGCACGGCTCGCTGGCCCGTGCCGGCAAGGTCAAGGGTCAGACGCCCAAGGTGGAGAAGCAGGAGAAGCGCAAGAAGAAGACGGGCCGCGCCAAGCGGCGCATCCAGTACCGGCGCCGCTTCGTGACCGTGGTGCAGACCTTCGGCAAGAAGAAGGGCCCCAACGCCAACTCGTAATCATATACAATACACCTGCCGATACGCCGCGACCTGAGCGTCTGTGGACTGGAGGAGAGAGGAGCGGAGACTGGAGGGAGAGGAGTGGAGGAAGGAAGAGGACTCGTGGTTGGGGAGGCGGAACAGAACAGTGACCTGACTATGGGGGGGGGGGGAGAGAACTGAATCCAGTGGCAAGGGAGAGAGGGGTAGGATTTCACAGTCTGACGCGACTGGGGCAGTGGAATCACTGGCCTGGCCTGATGGCTGGAGAGTTCAAAGTCTCCATTTGGCCGGGTGAGAGGAAAGACGAGATGCGTGGCAACCTGAACGGACTCAGATTGAGAAGTCCAAGGGAAATTCAAGTATCACTGAATATCGTCTAGAAATAATAACATTATCCGATTGTGTCGCACAATTGCTGACTCCTTCTTTACATAAGACGTATGCGGGTTTTACTTCTTAATTTGATTCTGATGTTCAATATGAACCAGTTAGAAATGGGCGCGATATAGCCTCGTTGCTGATGCAGCCTGTCACCAAATCGTCTTCATTCAATAATCAATACCAAGGATTCGTTCGTTACACATTACACAATCATGGATCTGGGTGAAACACATCTGTGAGCTTCATGGTTTTGTTCAACATCTTGTCTGCGTTTTGTTCCGTCGCATTTTGGTGAATCAGACCGCACAGGTTCGTAGGTCGGTATGGTAGGAGCGGGTGAGATGAGGGCTGCATCCACCACAGTACGCCGCCATGGCTCGATCCGTCTACTAAAGGCCACGAGACGGTCATTCCTGTGAAAATTTCGCTCCTATTGACCGCGGTTATTGGTGGCGGTCCATCCCGCACAGATTGGGAAGGGGATGGTTATTCATGAGAGTAGAAAAGGACTTTGAACAGAGCTGAAATGATGGTGACATGCCATCAGATAGCAATAGATTCTATCGCGACGAGTCAAGGGTCTAGGGATGCTCTCATTTTCATCGCTATCTAGAATCGATACCAACCAGAACGTTTCGTAAAGCGATGCATGCACCACTATGGCGACATAGTAGGAACTAGGCGATGAGGGCAATAGGATCCCATGCTTGTTTATTGTTGATGCCTGAAAACATTAATTGATCATGTTGGGAATGGAGCGCATCAGGCCCTGGCCGACGAAAGCGTCATCTGGGCTGGTGTGCTTCACCGACTACCCGACAGGTGGCACTACTGCCGCTGACAGTTCCCCGCTTGCCGTTCCGAACGCTTGGAGCCGCTGTCCAAGGAATAATTCCATGGATTGACAAGGGTATCTGTTCTGAAAGTGCGACTCTCCGTTCTTGGTTTTCATTGCATGTGCCCATTTCTTCTGACGTCAGACGTCCAAAAGAAGAATTTGCGAGCATTGCCTAATAGGAAAAAGATGGGCTGTCTGGCGCCCATAGCACTCACTCATGTAAAAGATGCATGCTTTGCTATGCTTCATCAGATCAGCTCAAATGCGTACCTTCTTATACCGGGTGTGGACGGGCGTTGGGAAATGCTGGAGCTCACGGACAACACGTTACATAACCCCTGGGATTTCTGGAACCATTATCACGCGTTGGGTGACGCTAATAACCTGTTCCTTACGGTCCCACCCAGCTGTCCGTCTGGGTGTCAGAATTCCCAGCTGTTTTCATGGGCGATTCTGATGCTGCGAATGCCGGTATACCAAATGAACTAAAGTTTATTGTCAATAAATACAAACTTAATGCAAATTTGAACTATTCAAAGGACTCGCCAAATAAGCTTCAGCTCATAGTTTGTATAAAAATAAATTGAGGAATAATTCTCTTGGTATTTGCAAAGCACACATACGGGGATTTCCAACCTGCGAAAACTCATCTTTATCGAGAATGGTCTCCGGTTTTTTAGCCATGGGTAAGTCTGGGAAAGTATAACTGACCTGCACCGTTTTCGGACGAAAGTCATGCTGTGCTTTTTTAAACGTCCTTAGAAGGGCCCCTAAACATTGAATGCCTCTTCTACTTGAAATATGCACCCGTGACTTCACCTCTTACCACTGAGGTCATAGTCTTGGGTCGTGAAAGGTCACCAGTAGTTTTTTCGGCATAAACTTTGGTAGAGAAATGCTAGAGCGACGTTGACACCAGAGTTCCTAACGCAATGCACATTACCATGGCTTTGTTTGGATACGGTTTCCGTCATGTAACTATGACGTCCAATGTTGGTGTGTCGTGTTGGGAGATAGTTGTGATTCTTGATGTGGTCAGGAGAACGGATGTACGCCGTTTTGCATGATGCTACTCAGGCAACTCAGCGCTCACTAGCCGGGTGTGTCCCACAAACACGACGGTATAAATCGTTATCGTTCGCGCCGGAAAGGGCGCCCATTCCATGTTAATCCCCCAGTTTTGGCACTCGACCACGACAGCGGCTCCTACCGTGCCTCATCGAATCTTCTCTCCGTTATTCGCGGCATTCATCTCCTTTGTGAATGCGTGATGCTGGGCGGCGCTTCGGGCTTCCTTCAGACACTAGTTCAGGGCCTGTCTTCCGTATCAGACCTGCGCGTCGGAAGCGTGACATGGCGCCGGCACTGTCTCCGCCACTCTGACGTCACGTGGAAGGGTGCGTGATAGCACCATCCGGTCGGCTGGAAGTGTAGATAACTGAGCAAGTCTTTCCAGTCAGAGGATACTGCACGCTATGGTCGGCTGGGCGTTCGATGATCGTAATGAGCTATGTGCATAAACATATTGCATGTATTTTAGCTGCACCGCTCGATCGTGACGATGATGGTTTGATTGTGCGATTGACCCCATACCGGCATTGTTTGGGACTAGGTCGGGGAAACTTTCCTCACATTTAAGTGTTATTTTTAGTTCGTGGTTCTTCGATCATCAATAAGCCCAACTCGTGTAGCCGGGTTTTGTGTATCCATGACGACCCTTTCGGCAAAAATGCTGTATTTTACGGTTCACCATAGTCTACAAGCAGATTTTGTGTTTCTGTTGTCGCAATCTGCACTAAGTGCTGCATCTGTAGTGCGATCATGCACCCTGCTCATAACCACATAGTGTTTCACACGGCCTTAGCATATGCAAATGGCGCAAATGGCTGGCTAATGCTGAAATAATAAAGGCGGACTGAGTTGGCCGTATCCCCGCACCAAGCCGTGCGCTGTTGATGAGAGCGATTACACCGGAATGATGACGGCGACGGGTGAAGCTGCCACTGCCGCGGGGAAAGAGCCTGCCGGCTGTCCCGTTAGGACCTCTCCCAACACAAAGCCCGTCGCCCTGGGTGCCTATCTGTGTATCTCCTCCACCTGCGCTGGGGAGAGAGGACTGAGGAGTCCGGTGCACTGACTACTGACCGGTCAGAACTCGGTCCGGCGGGCTGTTAAGAGCCGTTTGCGCGATTGGATTAGTGACATTGGTACATACGTTCCAAGGAAAAGGCATCCGGTTAGTCACGGCGATCTTCTGCATGGTTGAGACGCAGTCGGCACTGGTCTGTCTATCGGGTGTAAAGTCTTTTCCATTATCTTGTCGCGATATTGAGATCTCCGTGCCTCGATTCACCTTGTTTTATTCATAATGATCTCAAGCTTTCTGGGATATTCAGAGGTCTCTGTGTACTTATCTCCAGTTTTGTTCAGCAGACGGCTAGATATGAAGATGGCTCATTCAAACCAATTCGTTGGTCCGCGAGTTGGACGGCGATGAGGGCGTAGCCTTGCTGCGTTTCATCACCGACGTCTTTCTACAATTACTGGTACGCTGGCTGCAGATACTGGTGCAGCTGTGTTTCTCCCGTTATCCAGCCCGATGCCCCATTAATCTTCTGTGTGAAATTGAGGCGGACACACGAGAATAAACGTCTACGCTCGTTCGCTTTGTGGAAAATTAGTAATTAACTGGAATGTTTTGTTTGACGGTACAGCTCGCCAGTAACAGGCACTGGTGTCTGCTCCAAATTACACTATGCATCGGTAATAAATCACGCTAGGTCATAAAGTACACAGGACCAGGGAGATGGGCGCCGATTCAGTGAAAAGAAACGCCGTGTAATCGATGGTGGGCCGTCCCGGTTATTAATGACTTCGGCCCGCCTCCACCGTTCAGTCTCGGCTTCAGACGAGTGTAGCCGTCCATTCTATCCTCTGGCCTCACACCGAGCTACTTGCTCATGCTGTAGCTTCTCAATGCAGCTGACCAGTCTGATATTACACCGATTCTAGCCGCCCAGTCTCTGATTTTACGTCGGATGCAGCCGATCTATAGCTCCTCTGCGAGTCCGAAAACCGAGATTCTCTGATCTTGCACTGCCCAAAGCCTCCCAGCGCAGTGTGACCGCACAACGGCTGTAGCCGCTCAGTCTCGCCGTAAAAGGAACTTAGCCGTCCTGCATGTCGGTCGTTGTGGTATTCGTCGACTTATGTAGGTCGGTGATGTGATGACTCGCACAAAAGTGTATAGCCAGACCGGGCGACAGTCCATTATTATTGCTGATTGCCCGGGGCTGTGCTCTGAATCGGTTGCCGATTGAAATATCAGATGCTGATCGCCGCTAGTGGTAGATAAATGGCGTAGCTACTGCAGAGAGGGAGGAGAGAGAGAGAGAGAGAGAGAGAGAGAGAGAGAGAGAGAGAGAGAGAGAGAGAGAGAGAGAGAGCGAGCGAGAGAGAGAGAGAGAGAGAGAGAGAGAGAGAGAGAGAGAGAGAGAGAGAGAGAGAGAGAGAGAGAGAGAGAGAGAGAGAGAGAGAGACGTGGTGAATGAGATTACGCTGTGTAATATTGGCCGCGGGGTGGCGTTCTTTTTGTTCGCCAGAGATAGCTCGGAGTGTCGATCGGCTCTGTTTTGTGATGCAAATTACTGTGGACACGGGCTGCGTGATGGGAATGCCTCTAGAACAAAACATCTCGCTCCCGACATTGTCCATATTCGGCTGTCACTCGTGGCGCTGCTGTATTGTGTTTTCCCGTGGCGTGAGTAAAATCGTAACGATTCAGATTATGTAATAATAGACATTGTGTGCTTTTTAATCCAGTCAGTCTCTTACCTATTGGTCTTCGTGCACTCGTTCGATACAAATGAATGGCGATATTTTTAAGAAACGAAACTGTCGCCCACTCATTCATCTAAAAATTGATCGATCAGTCGCTTCGCGAATTCCACTGTTATAGAAAAGACGCCGGAACAATGAACAGCTGAAACGGTGGCAGGTCGGTCAATGTCAGATAATGAGGTCACTGACGGTGACTGCCAGCCAATCGTCTGAGTGAAGCTGGGTCTATACCAGCTAACGAGATAGGGAACTGATACACCCGGGCGGGGCTGGATTTGGGAGCGGCATGAACCCAGGCTTTATGGCATAGACAGGCGGTAACGAACCTGTTTGCTTCGCTGTCGATGTGAGAGGTGTTCACTGAGAGGAGAGGTCGCGTTAGGTATGGGGCCGGCGTGACAATTACGGAATTTCACCGCCGCTAGAGCGCCCGTATTCGTCACGACTTTGGCTGATTTAGCGGCTGAAGTTTGGGTTAGATTGATATTACAGGTGAAATTACGTCACGGCGCACCCCATGCTGATTAGTGATCACCGCGTATCATTTTGATGTGGGCGTGGTAATCAATGTTCAGAGTGCCGAGATTGTATGCAGGCAACACCGGGAACAGAAGAGACTGATGACTATTGGTATTTGATAACAGTGATATAAGCAGCTACATAATGTAGTTTTCATACGTAGGTGTCGTAATTAATGTCGTTTTGAACGGCATGAAATTATCCCTGTTTTTTTTTCTCTCACATTCTAGATTAATGGTAGATGATAATTTATTACACAGTGAACGTGGCAACTGGCATGAGTTCTCGCCGTCTATGTTTTGCGCGTCCGATGTTCAAGAATTACCTTGATAATCTCAGCGGAACGTGCCGTCTAAACTCTGACCAATTCGTCCGTTTGAACACAGGCCAGTACCGTGCGTGTCGGCCGTGTGCCGAGCGCCGCGGCAGGTGCGTCTGAGCGTCTCGCCGGCCCGGCCGTCCGAGTAAAGTAATCTTGGCCGTCGGCACCCCACGGTGACTGTGTGTTCTGGCAGACACCGGTCGGCGCGCCACCGATACCTCATCTCCCGACACACACAGAGGTGGTGGCAACTGGCCGGGGCGCCGGCTCCAGTCATAGTTCGTTTTGGCCGTATTCTCTGCGAGCTGCGAAAAGCGCAGAGGCGGCGCTCCCCGATCTGACCCGACCTGACCTGACCTGACCAGGCAGTCCGCGCCCAGCGCACCAGTCATTATCACCGGCTGCACTCGAGCTCATTTGCATATGAACGGTTTTGATCGATGAAGAACAGCTGAGTGGAGCGGCCAATATTCATCGCCATGAGCATCTGTCGATCTCAACTGCCGATAGAGCGGTCGGCGCGTCCTGCGTCAATACGTTATGATTGGAGCGGTGGGATGGATGGGGTGGCGCCGGTCTGCTCTTGGGATGTTGAACATAGGAATGGGAGTCGTCCAAGGAGTGGGAGATGAACCGGTCCCGACCAGCTGATTGGTGCGGTTGATTGTTGAGGTGTACTGTGAGGCACTATAATGCTTACCTGCGGGACTACCTTTCATGTCACAAAATAAAGTCGACCCGTGCTTGCAGTCTTCTGTAAAGTTAAACGACGAGAAACTAATACGGATATCTGGGATACGCTGGTATGCGTTTAATCTTATAGGTGGTTTACGTTTCTCATTTCTATCCGATCATGTGTTCCGAAATAGGCATGTTGACGTCACTATGAGGTTATCGTCAGCGCTGTGCCATATACAGCATGGTGACGTAACTCGGTAATCTTATACAATGTGAGCCGGTCACCCGCTCGTGCCGTTTTACGGCTGGTTGGTTGTAGAGCAGCCTCGGATAAGTTGGATATTTGGCGTAACGGGTCATTCTCTTCCTGCTGTCAAATGACAAGCAAGGCTGCTTAGTTGGACTGCCGTGCTTGTTGTATGTATTGCGCGAAAAGTCGCTGCTTAGCGATTCATGGCGAGGGAAAAGCAAGACTGTGGGTATTGCATTTTCGGGGTGTTCGAAGCATTTTATGTTAATTTCCGTTATATTATGTAACGTTCTTCGTCGTCGCAGCTTATACGTAAGGCGGTATTTTCGCTTGTAAATAGGTGTGGACATAATTGACGAAGTACACGAGCGACAAAGGTGTAGATATCCCCTACTATCGGGCTGATAGACAGTGCGATTTTCGGATTTTGTGGTGCCTCTCCTGAACCGGAGCTTCGTCAATCACTTGTGGTGGAAGCGTCGCAGAATGATTGCGTGTACATGGGAGCTTTGACGTTCCAACATTCTTTACACTATTATGTTGATTTGTGGCCATCGACAGCGACCAGCGGGCACTAATACTTCGAAGACGTCAAATATTGTCGCAATAAAATTGATCAACGGGCTTCCCCTGACCAAAAGAAGCGTCTCTGACGGGATTTCTGTCATAAGTGTTAATTACGGCTTACTGAGGTGACCACGACTCTAGGTGAGGACGAAATGGCTGCAACGGCGACAAGCCATTTTCCTGATAGTGATCTTTGGGTGTATTCTATTACGTGTACTTCTTGACCTCAATAGCGAGCATTGTGCTCTTGGTGTCACTGAAGCCGCCGATTGTCTTGAACTGGTTACGTAAATGCCAAGGTAACCTTTTTTACCTCGAGCTGCTTGCTAACTCGGGAGCCTGAATGAATGCGTGACGTTCGTTTTATCATGCATCTACAAGACCTACACAACGCTTATACTCAGTCCATCGAAACCATTGACGATGTACGGCGTAATGGTCTGAGATGATCATTGAGCATCACTGATAATGAAATGATCATTAAGTGATCTGAGTGATCCGATATACACGCATCAGCTCCCCGTCACCCTTTATGCGTCTGTACCCAGCCTACAGGCTCCACAAATGGTCCAGATTGTAAACTCGAGCCTCTGCTCCTTGTCTGCTGTAGTGGCAGTGACGGGCACTCTGTCCTCTCAATACCGGATCCGACCGAGCCCATCCGCCGGGACGACTGCGTCCGGCTGACCGTCAATGGCGAGGCAAGGTCACTCTGTGGTGACCAAGGGGCCGCCTGAGCCGCGGACACAGCTTTGGCACGAGAGAGACGAACGTACGCCCCAACCGCAAGCTATGGAGGCGAACTCCCGTCGAGCTGGACACGCGGCGCACAAGGGACACACATCGAGTGACCTTGGGTCTAAGCCTATGGCTGGTGATTATCGAACTCTTCAAATTTTGATCCATGGAACAGCACGGCTGACATTAACAATGTTCGTGTATTTGTCTTGTAGCATTCACCAATACAAGCAAAAGTCAACGACGTAAAACGCGACACTTGAAAAATATACACACCTTCCAATAAATACGCTCTGTAAAAGACTAGCATATATCTCTTTAATCGGCTTCAGAAGGACACACGTTTCTATTTCTATTTTCAATGGCATTAAATAGAAGCCACATGGAAGTGTAGTAGATTGGAACGAAGCACCATTAAAGCACGAGTCACAAGCACATCTGTTTTCGGAAGTTTCAAATATAAAACAACGCCAATAGACTTCTCAGTTCTCACAACTCACAATGGACGCTCTGGAAGGCACTGACACAGCGAGCTCCGACACCATCCAGTATCGCTCTTCACCGCATCACAGAGATCGCAGACAGACTGAACCAGCACCGGACCGACCTCACCCGTCGGCGCTCCTAATGCCCCGCCTGTTCTCTGCCGCCGGTCACAACCGTTCACCTTTCAGGCACTATAGTGTAGCCATCAGGACATGTTGCGGCTAACGTCCCCACTGCGACAGGGCACCTTAATGACAGTCCGGCGACCCAGAACAGCCCACTTCCCCCTACAACTGCCATACAGAGCCCACGGCAGCACACATTCTCACAAGCACAGCGTCGCTCTTGGAGCACCCCATCCCGTCCCGTTTCGCGCCTCAACTGCTAGCAGTCTCTGAAGTGTCTCGCTCATTAGACGACTCTGTCCGTGTCCGGGCGGTTACCTCAGCCCGCAGCTCGTCCAGCTGACGCTGCAGCTGCGCCGTCAGACGCGCCTCCATATTACTCAGCAGGTCCTTGATGTCCTCGAAGGAGACGGCGCGAGCTGAGGCCACCTCGCGACCTCTGTGCATGCGCAGACCGCCTTCAGGCTCGCTGGGGACACGCAGCGAAGTGTGGCGTCTGTTTTGTCCGGCCGCCACCGGCGGCTGCTGCTGACTGCGTCCATTCGCCGTCGCACCACCCGATGATGAGCCACCCTCGTGGCCCTCCTGCGCGTGCAGGGCGCGCCATATACGCTCCAACATCTCTTTGTTGATCTTGTGCTCGCGGATCGCCTTGGTCTTGTAGTCGAGGATCTGCAGCTCGTGTGACTTCTGTGGGTGGTTGGGCATCAGGAAGACGCGCTTGGAGAGCACGTCCAGGTGAATCGAGTCAAGGATCGGACGCGTCATGGAGTGCAGCCACCCGCAATGGAAGAGGGACTTCATGAAGGCCGTCATCAGCTCTGTGTTGTAGATGAGCTGAGACTGTTTCTTCAGGCGCTCCAGGTGCGCGCCAGCCCGCAGCCCCTGGACGTCGTTGACAGCCAGGGCCACCAGGAGGTTGGAGAGGATGATCGACACCAGCACGAGGAAGAAGAAGAAGATGACATGGCTGGTACCCCTGAGAGGAATTGCCGCTGGGTCTAGGAACAAACCCTCGTAGTCCACCTCGCCTATCATCAGTGTTAGCGTTTTCATAAACGAGTTGAACGGGTCCTTGAAGGCACCGGCCTTGCGGAAGGCAAGGTGGAAACTGATGGAGAAGGCTACCAGCAGGCTGAAGTACACGAAGAAGATCCTGCAGAACACCTTGGCAACTCGGATGAACATGCTGACGTAGATACCGCAGCTGGGGAACTGTCCGATCATGTGCATCGTTTTGGACCAAAGGAAGAGCACGTAGAAGGCGGCTAGGTGCGTCTGCCACGCGCCATCACTGTCAGCACTCACCGCGAAGAACATGCAGAATAGGATCCAGTTGAGGCACGACACACCGTTGGTGAAATAGTTGGACGCCGACGAGATGATGTTGAGAAGCTCGTGTATCACCAGGATGACCACCATGCTCACTGACGTCCAGTAAAAGCCGAGTTCCCACTCCATTATCCTGGTGGCGAACGCGGTCACACTCTCACCATCACCGAGCTCACCCGACTCACCGGACGTGTTCGTCGCGCTCGCGTTCACTGCAGGGTATATCACACGGTTGGTCCTATCCCACACAAACTTGTTCAAAATGAAGAACGTGCTCACGATCACAAACACCAGGTAGAAGAGCAGCTTCAGCAAGAAGAGCTTGACGACGCGATGCCACTTGAGCGCGAGGAACGATTGACACACAGGATGAATGAGCACCTCCGACTCTCCGATCTTGATGAAGTTTCTCAGAAGATCCGTGTGGCACAGGGCGTCTGCACGAATCAGCGGCTTGAAGTTGATGGTGATCTCGAAGTTCTTGTTGTTCTTGGGCAGTTTGTTCGGCACCAGACAATGATCAAGAATCTGATCCAGAGCGTTGGGGATGTTGCGCAACATCATGGCCAGCGCCGTCTCGCCTTCCGAGTTCTTGGCCTTCAGGTCTGCGCCCCCGTTGAGGAGGGCCACTACGTTGGGTATGGAGCCGGCCTTTGCGCACTTGTGCAGTGGCGTCTCGCCCTGGTTGTCGGGTAGGTTCACCTCTGCGCCGGCCTCCAGCAGCAGCCGAACGCACCGCACCTCGCTGCCCAGGGCGGCGTCGTGCAACGGCGAGTATCCGCGCATGTCCTGCACGAACACAGCCGCCTTCTGCCGCGCCAGCAGCACGCCCATGCACTCGGCGCAGCCGGCCACGGCCGTGAAGTGCAGCGGCGTCTGGAAGAACTTGTTCTCAATGCTGGCGTCGGCTCCGCGCGAGAGCAGCAGCTCGACGCCGTGCCGCCAGCGGATGCGCGCCGCCTGGTGCAGCGCCGACTCGCCGAAGAAGCCGTTGACGGCGTTGACGTTGGCGCCGCGGTCCAGACAGGCGGTGACGGCCTCCAGACTGCGCCGGTCGATGGCCTCGAAGAGCTGCTGGTCGGCCTCCGTGGGCTGCGGCGGGTTTAGCGGCGAGTAGCGGTGAGACATGTTGTGCTTGCGCCGCGACATCTCCAGCCAGCCGGACGGCTGGTGACGCAGAGAGCGGGCCATCACTGCAACGGAGAGACGGAGAGCGGTCAGAGTTTGACAGACGGAGAGTCAGACACCGACAGGGGCGCTTAGAGACGGGCAGCACACGCTCAGAGACTGGCAGTGGCATTAGCTTGAAGGCTGTCCTCAAACGGCCAGACACTGGCAGACGGATACTGACATACTGACAGAAGTAGCGAGACACTGGCATACGGCAAACGCTCAAACACAGACACAGACTGCGTCGGATGCTGACAGTAGTCGGCACACGTTCAGAGACGGACGGACACTGGCAAACGGTAAACAGAGGTTTACCGACGGAGTCTTGTGTTGTGAGGCTTTGTCAAAGGTTGAATGGAGGGGGTTAACTCGTGTGCTGGTAGACAGGTCACGTGTTCAGTCAATAACAGAATAGACCCGATAGGGGCTGCCAGGGGCGCAAATGGACGGGACAGTCCGTTGTACATGGACGGAACGCCGTGTCAAGAACGCCGTGCCAGTTCTCCCGTGGTAACCCTAACCAGATAAGGTGTTATCATGAAAACTTAACTTCTTTTTTTCAGACACAGCAGTCATGGTATAGAAAAGATCAGCCACGTACCGGGCCCCTGACTGAAACATGAACTATACAGTTACAGGAATGTTGCTGAGAGCAAGTACTAAATCGGGACTGGTTCCCGGGCGCCCTGTAGGAAAGGCAGCCGATACGAGTCCCTAGAAATGCCTATACGAAAGCCCGACATTTCCTCAGCCAGCGAGTCCCGACTCCAGCGCACAATGCCCGTGGTGGTCGCAAAGTTTCGGTCAAATTGCTGGCACCCAGTTCAGTGCAGTGGTTCGGCTTCCCTGCGCTAATGTCAGTCGTCACGCATAGCGTAAATACATGTGTACATATATGTGCCGTCAGATCAAGAAGGGATTTCATGTCGCTCGCCTTGTATTGGAGCCGTTTTCGCATGCCTAATAATTGTGAATGTTATTTGACAGCGATTATTATCGCTGGTTGTCTAGGAGCCGGAAGTAAGCGAAGGAAGGCGTGTGGTGAACAATTTTAATGGTTATGTTGTAAAAAAAGATAAGCACTTCGCAGGTATCTGCGCTCAACAGCTTTCCTTAGCGGCTAGCTAGGTAAGGTAAACTTTGCGATCAGCACTTTGGGGATACGGCTTTGATGACCGTAAAGAAATTAGCCCACGCAAAGAAATTCTGATGGACAAAGGTTGCAGATTCGGAAGTTCATCTGGCGAGAAAAGCATCATGTACAAATGCCGAATGCATGCATACATACTACGTACATATCACATACATGTGTAATGACTATTGAGTGTCCTTTATGTAGTACTAAGTTATAGGGACGGCTGATTGTTCTTACCCTTATTACCGGCTATTGTGAACAATATTACTTGAACGGCCCACATTTCTACTACGCATTTTATCCCTCATGGCTCACGTTTTGATAATCGTCTCAGTAGATAGTGGTCGACCAACGGCACGCTATGAATGTCGCCGTCGCTGCATTCGCGATTGTTCTCTGAAAAGCTCATGTCTGCATTGTATCGAGATTGGTGCAATTTTACGGCTCATCAGCCTACACTGAGATCGCCGTGTGGACATGCCCGCTGCGCTGTGACATTCAGTGTGTCATCATATTTCGCGATCAAAGAACGGCGCCGACTGGTGGTCAAGCGAACGTTTACGGAAATAATGACGCCGCTGGAGCCGGTGCAATAAACAGAGTGACGCGTAAAACGGCACAGAAATAGCGGAACGGGATACGACAGTCATGTTCCCCGGCCTTCGTTTGCTTTCCAATAAATTGCGAAGTAGGATTATTTTATATTATATGGCGAGACGGCTGTTTGTTTAGTCCCAAGGCGATTGGATTGTTGAGTATGGATTCAATGTCACCTGCCACATCAATGAAGCTCGTCATTTTTTTTACTAAACCAAGGGCTTCTAGCAAAATCAGCAGGACTTGCTTAGGTGTATTTTTCATGGGTTTACTCTTGCTTGTATCCGCTCTCAACTAGCGTGATCTCGAAAAGTTGGGGCATTCCACGTCAAATCAAACACCGAAATCCGTCATCCCCTTCGATTTTTCTGAAAATTTGTAGGCAGACTGGGCATGGTTCAAAACTGAGTTACGTATAATATTTTCGAAATTTGATAACGCATCGCTGAGATATAGGTCATCGAATATAGCGAAAAATGCCACACATCAATTTTTTAAATGGCTATAACTCTGGTTCCTTTTCTGGTATCAAAATGATATTAACAGGGTCTTATAGGCAATTGATAAGGCTTTGATTTTTAATTATAAAATTAAATTGAAGTGACATTGAAATGTATTTGACCTTGAATTAAAACAGAAAAATTTAAATAGCAAAAAACACGTCACCTTCGATTTGGGTAATTTTTACATATCATGTCCGTCACAATGTTCCTAACCATCTGTGAAAAAATTGGAGTGGGCCATTCATAACTTTCGCGGCAAACGCCGTTTTCATGCATCAACATCACGCAACCGCGCGTGACCTTGAAAGACAGAGTCAAGACATGCTTGCTTGTGTACACTTTCTGAAATGAATGATTGCTGATTAGTGATATCCCAAACTCTGCGAGAATGGAAATGCATAGTCATCGTAGTCAAGCATTCACGTTCCATAGTAAAAGTGTCTCAGGCAAACGGTATTTTGCGGTGAATTTTGAGCCGTGTGGAAATGCATCATGAAGTAAATTCAACGAAAACAATAACATTATCACGCAACGATATCTTCACGCCTTTTGATCTTCACTACACGAAAGAACATACATTTTTTAGTATGAATGGGGAATTTCTAGTTAATCCAATAATAAATATGGCAGTTAGAGGCCTGCTAAGAGTAACATGTCGCCGGCTGAGGCGGGCTCGGCCGATGCGGGAAACGCAGCAATCAATTTTGTGTTTACACGTTCATATTTCAATTGTTTACCAACCGATTTTCAAAATTCTTTCGCCATAAGATTGCCTGTACATTTCTTAGTCTTCTAAAAAATTTGACGCGAATCGAACGTAATCAGCGGTAGGGAGCGCGATGTAAAGACGGAACCGTTCCGTTCCGTCCCGGCACAGTCTACAATTCAGGCGGCGCGTAGCGGTCGGCGCCGGCTGCCGAGTCGCCGCGTTGCTGCGGCGACAGGATGTTCACTTTACACCGCTATTACTAGAACAGTTGTGAACCGATTTTCTTATTGCTTGCACGATGAGATGCCCAATTCAATTCTTGACAGGAAGCCATAATTAATTTCGCATTAATCTTATGAGATATTGGCGAAAAACAGGAGGGGTGGGCGAAATTCGTTCTTCCTCCTCCACTGCGCGTGCTAACATACGTTTGCATATGTGCAATTTTCTTCAAAACTTATGAATGGCCCACTCTAATTTTTTCACAGGTTGTTAAGAATATGGTAGGCAATAAAATATATGAAAATGAGCCAAATCGAAGGTGACGTGTTTTTTGCTATTTCAATATTTGTGCTTAAGAACAGAGTTAAGCAAATTTCAAGGTCATGTATTTAAGTAGGTGCAATTCTAAACAAATGCTTAAGAAATTACCTAAACAGTAAGGTTCATTTCATTAAAATCAAACAAGTACAACCAAAGTTATGGTCGTTCAAAAATATAAAGATGCAACATTTTGTAAAAATTTGATGCCCTATATTTAGAAGACCTGTGGTCAGAATGTGCAAAAAAACATCAATGTAATGTCCGGGGCCACACAGGAACTCGCTCACAAATTTATAATGAAATCGCTGATGGTAAGGTGCAAAACAGCCGATTTTTGTTCGATTTGACGTGGAATGCCCCAGTTGCATTCTTCATCTATGTCATCTACAAAGGAGGTGATAACTTAAAATAAACTGCGGTTTATAATGCATAATGTCTCGCAATAATCCACCAAGCACTCACAGCAGTGAGTCGAGTCACCTTCCACGGTGCCTGGTACGGAATCTCCGTCTGTTTTATACGCTCGGGGCGAACCCGTTACACAATTCACTCACGTTTCTGCAGGGAGAGCGACAGACTGCGCAGATTGTGTTTGGCGCAGGCCGTTTTCTCCTCGGCCAGTCCAGGCAGGTGACCCGCGTCCCAGACCCGGTCAGGGATGCCAGAGTCGCTGGCACGTCGGTTGAACACCACCTTGCTCTGCAGGTCAAAGTCGTTGACCATGATCGCCGGGGGTTGGCAGGGGTCCGGGTTGCCGCTCGGGGGCGGTGAGACCATCGCCTCAGCGGTCATCTCAGTCACCGTCCCGGCCTCCATGACCGCGGGGCAGCGAGGCCGCTCCGCTGTGGTCTGTAGAGACCTCGGGTGTCAGAAGTCCGATATATCACCACTATACTCGGTTCCACTGCGCCCCGACTCAGAACGGATGGCTGTAATCACTGTGTCACGGCCCGTCCACACATCCCAGGGGCGTCTCGCTCTGCCGCCGTCACGGGGCCGCTGCCAGTGCCCTGAGGCGCTGCCGGCCGAGCGCGTGCACCCGAACCACCGTCCAGCCGATTGACGACTCGACTGTGTGAGCGGCGGGTCGGCGCCGCGCGCGCGGATCAGGTAAAGATCCGACGGCCTTGGTCTCCGCTGTGGTGGGCTGTCTGTTCCTGCCTCCCGAGACGCGGCGCTGAGCCGCCTCTAACCGGTCCCCACAGACGACGGAGGATGGCCCACTGCCAGCCAATGAGCGGGGATTTCTGCACCCGTCCGCCAATCGTGGGCGGCACCGCCGAACCCGCGGAAACGCTGGATGTCACGATGAGTGACGCAGGCGGATTGTTGTGCGCGTCTGGTAGGTTGTGACCCGGTCACCTGGGGTCTCTGTGCCACGCGCTACTTTTTCGTGCTGCTCTTACCATGACCGTCCAGTCAAATGAAGGGGCGCGCTCCGGCTGGGCTGGTTGCGGCTTGAGTGTCCGATTTAGGATAGTGATGGCATGAGACAGCCAGAAGACAAATTTTCACGTAAGGGTCATCGTGCGTAAGCCGTCGGCAGAACTTAGCACGGCGCCTGGGTCAGCTTCTGTATCTGGCGTGGCTTGGAGCTGAGATAGCTCCTGCCCATGCTGCCGTGCACGAACTCCGAAGCCGCTAAGCCGCTTAGTGTCAAATACAGCTGGGTCTAAGGGCTTCCGCTAATGCTAGTTAGTGCTGGTATCCGGGAACGTCGACCCGGTAGGCAGGGGCCGATTGCAGGCGATCGTTGCGAGATAGCTCAGATTTTTGATACGATATGCAGCTGGCGGAGATTCCTCATCGCGTGTATATAAGGCTAGAGTCGCGCTGCGAATGCGATTATACCTGAACCGGGCTAAGCATTCAAACTCTCCCCAGCCATGACATTCCACGGTCCCGGAAGCTAGACATAAATATTTGCGCGGTCGCGAGATATTCACTTCTCGATATTCATTGACCCGCCACTAACAATCACTGTGAATGACAGGCCTGCATGATAACTGATTTGTCTGATGTCACAGTAAGCCAAGGTCAGGGTCACCAGTGCAATGGGATTGCAGATGACGTATTAGAGCTGCTCAGTGCTCATACATACCTTCTGACAGTTTGCGCATCCCCTCTCTCCACACTGCGCTCTCCTCACTCTGTCCACTCCACTCTCACTCCCTGGAGCCCGGTGCTCCCCGGTTCTCGCCCACAGGAGCCCGTTGCTCCCCGTGCTCGGCCACAGGAGCCCGGTGCTCCCCCGCTGTTCACTACTGCGCTGAGACTAACGGCTCTGCCACTCTGCCGGGCCCCACAGCTAGGTTCGAGTTTGTGTGTGAACGAAGCCACTCCCGCTCATCTAACACATACAGAGGAAACCGGGAGAGGAGAGGACCGGGCTGCCGGGGCCGCTCCGCCGACACATCATTAGCAGATAAACAGCCGACTGCTGTGGGCTGGCAGCCACGCCGGTACCGTGCGTACGCAGGCTGCAGCTCAGGCCGCAGCGGAGCCCGCAGCTTGGCTATATGTGGACCGAACACAGCGGAAATACCTATACGCCAGTTTGGTACACAGCGGCTCTTTCAGCTCCGCGTGGCACCGGCACCGTGTGTCCCGGTTAGGAAGGGTCGACTTGGAAGTCGACGATGGAGAAAGCAACGGAAAACACCGGGCTTATTGGGAATAGTTTTCGACCATATCTCGCCATGCATTTTTTGTGCCAGCTAGCCACTGCCCACAACGGCGACACTGGCTGCCTGCGTGATAGTGTACATTTCCACCGCTACGTGGCTTAGGCGATTAACGCCTGAATATATACTGCGCCGCACTACAGCACTGCGCCCGCGGCCCAGTCCAGCTGCGCAGATGAATCAAAGACGGCGCAGTGGCGGATCCAAGGGGCATTTGGGGCATTTGACCTTTTTGCAGCGTCCGAAGTTGAGAATTTGTGTTGTTGTTTTTCCTTTCGGAGAGAAATAAAACTATTTTCCTTAACCCTATTCGAATTGTAACCTTATTCAAAGCTTTTTTACTGCACGGCAACGCGTAAGGAAGCGAAATCCGCGGAGTCTTCTCTGGGGATTATGTCCACTGCAACGTCCCAAACCACTTCTGGATTTAGCAATGGAGTGGTAGCGTTTTGAGTGCCATAAATCAGTCGTCAGCAATGAACAGCCGGTTCGGGCTCCTCCGGGTCCCGCATCGCCGCAGCGTGCCCAAAACGAACGCGGCTGCTAAATTTAATCAATAAATGGCGGCGCACATGTCAGTCACCACCCGACTGCGAACGCAAACAACCCGCTCTGACTCCCGGAGCGTGAATTCTGCGCAGATTGTGCGGTCACAAAAACGTGACAGGGTCGAGCTTCGAGTCCCTGTGGATAGCAGAAAGGTCAATGAGCCATTGGCTGGTTATAAGCTCTGCCGACGTTTGGACAGAGTGTTTGCGTCGCACTTATCAGTGAAATTCTGGTACATTCGCTGCGCTGCAAGTGAGCGGTCAACTCGTGTCGGTCGGTGTCCGATTCAGTAGAGGTCGAATTCCTCTCGTGGTCACAGTTTCAGTCGACCCCTTGTTTGCTGGTGAGGCGTCAGTGGAACGGCGGGGTCGTGTCAGAACGCCGACTGTGCGCCGCGCTGTGCCCGGCCTCAAGGTAAACGCTGCGGCCTATTTCTGTGCCCGGTGCCGCCACCGCAGCCGCCCCTCCCCGCCCCGGCTCCGCTGAGCTCGCCACAAACTCCGATTCATGGTCGCCGCGTGGCTATATGCTGCCGAGTAACGGTCTTTGAAACAGATTCATGGAATACCGGCACGATCCGTGACTGAATCGATATTCCGATAGAGCGAGGCTTAGGTTTTAATTCCGTCGGATGTCGAATGCCGTATTTCAAAGAATGATAAGACGTCAGCGGTGACGTTGTTTTCAGGCATTCGGCCGTTACGTAGTTCATACTGTCACAGTGAATCGATTTTCGTGCAGAGCACCGTTCTGTTAGATTGTGAGCACCATTCTTTCAGAACTAAGACTGAAATTTGATGGATATTTATGAACTGTCTTGGTTGTGATGCCATGCCATTCGTGCGTCACGAACTTGAATTATTAATTGATTCTCTTGAAGATGGTGACGCTCGATGCAGAAGTAGGTAATCATCGAAAACTGATAGAGCGGACGTGCATACTGTAGGCAATCACCTAACTTCCGTCCTGTTTTGCATGTGCATAAGACAAGCTGTGATAAAAATGTTGAATATCGCTACCGATATTAGATAGACCCAGTGCCAAGGGACGCCAATAATTCTGTTGAATCCATTCACATGTGAATCTTTTCAGGATATGCTTTTCTTTGGCTCACGCAAGGTTACAAAATCTACCTGCTCTTATTTTTCCGTTTCTGAAGACACTATTGACCCAGATCTAGCCCCTAACCTGCCCGCATTATTCATTTACCACCTCGTTTCTGGTAGCTTATAAATCTACCTCCTCACTGCGGCGTGGCACCTCTCAGGAGCCTCTTGAGGTGCTGAATGACAGATGAGGGGCTGTAGTCTGTTCACAGCGAGATGGGGTGGCGGTCCTTCCCCGGCATTCTCTGGTAACCTCTGGCAGGGAGGCCCCAGCCGAGTGGATTCACTGCGACCGAGAGTATGACTTGTCAAACGAGTTTTGTTTTGTTTAGACAGAGGCACACCTGCCCTGACTGTTCAGTGTCTATTCGTGGATTTTGAGGGCATTTAGCGCTGCAGTGACTCATGGTTATGAAGCGCGGCTGATAGCGACCATAATGCAATGAGCCTCATCGCTAACCTTCACCTAGTTACGAGTCAAATGCCCGTGAAAACGTCGTTTCAATGGCTGTTTTAAAGCATACCTACCTTGGTGAAGTTACGTAACATGCACCATTGAATTGCGATTACAGGATAACTTTTTCATTGGCGATTGCGGAAAAAGGTTATATTATCTCTGCTGCATAATCAAGGTACTGGGATGTCGCCTGGCCCTGCAATATGTTGGTGCTAGGATTATGGTCCGTTACGTTAAAACAGCCATTTATCCCATGTTCTGCCGATTTCTCAATACCACCTTCCCATAATCCTACACCGTATGTTCACCCTTTTACCCATAATATTTGTTTTGCTTGTTCTCAAAACACTGTTAAAAGGATGCTTGGAAGCCCGCGTTTGGATTAGTGAGTTGACCAGCCTACCCCAGTTTGACCCGATGGTAGAGTTGGGTGGCTCCTCTTCTTTCTGCTCCGTAGTCGACATCTGAGCCTCTTTTTTACCGATTGCTGGTTGATGGTAAACACACTCCACATGGGCCAGTCTCGCCAGTCAACAAATTCAGCCACTCTGCATACTGTCTATTGATTTAACCATATCGCACTGTCCACCGGCAGCAGATGCCTGTCACTGTTCACTGTTCACTGTTCAGCGCAGTATTGAGCCATACTGCACCGTCTATAACTGGCGACGGATGCTTGCACTGTTTGATACGCAATCAAACCACACTACACCACCCAGCGGCGGCGGATGTCCCGTTCACCACTTCGCCTAGCCACTCTGCACCGTCCACCGGTTAGTCTGGTATCTGAGCACACTTTTCGCCGCGAGCTCGAGCTGCACTGCATTGTCAGGCAGCTCTCGTCGCGAGCTAGAGCTGCACTACACCGTCAGGCCGCCGCTGATCGGGCACTGGTGCTTACTGATCCGGTGCGGTCTCGTCGCACCGCGGAGGCCCACTGACCGTGACGTTACCATGGTAATTTACCGAGCGAGCCCGTGCAGTGTGGCCGACAGACCGTGAATTGTGGTGGTTTCGCCATGCCAGCCCTCGCCGATCGGTTATACTATGACCGAAGTAGCTGCAGCGAGCATGCAAACAAACAGCAAACAAGCAAACACCGAAGTAGCTGCAGCGAACATACCAAGTGGCGCCGCAGCACGCGTGCAAACAGCGTGGTCTCAACATGACTCATGCGGCCATGCCATTACCGCCCTGGCCCGTCGGTATAATGTAATTAGCGTTCTGCCGGATTACCTGCTGTCAGCCATGTTTGTACCGCTTTGGAAACACCAGCATCAACATTCAACAGGTCACTACTAGTCAACGCTACCTATCGCCTGCTTCAACTAATCACCAGGCAGGAAGACGCTACGTAGGTCCCCGTTCCCCATCAGCGCTCAGGAGTCGGCCATTTCTTCGGCATTCCTGCAGCTCCAGGCACCCGGTATCGGGCCGGGAAGTGTGCAGGAATAGTCTGCGATTGTAACACGCGGCCCCGGCGGATGCGGCCGCAAATATTTGGTGTCGGTGACTGGGCATGGAGTGCGCCTCAGTCGGGTGCAGAGTGAGGCGCCGGCGGGGAGAGGAAGTGGGATGATTGGGGGGTTTTGGGCTATCCCAACGGATGCAGGGCTGTCCAAACTGTCACGTGGCTGCCCCAACTCATGTGGCTGTTATATGACTGCCTCAGGCAGGGCTGCGGAGTCGGGAGTCGGAGCTGGAGTCGATCGTAGTCGACAATTCTGCCCGGAGTCGGAGTCGGAGTCGATTTTTGAAGTCGGAGTCGAAGTCGGATTCACTCGAAAATCCATCGACTCCGCAGCCCTGGCCTCAGGTGTAGCAGGGCTGTCCCATCTGTGATAACCCGGCCCCAGCTGTCAAAGTTTGTTCGGCTGTCGCATGGCTGCCTTCACTGCCGCAGGACTCTGTCGGTTGAGGCATTCCGCAACAGCGGCGCTAGCGTGTCAGTCGCTTCTCGGCTTCTCGCTTTCAGCAATGCCCTTGCCCTTTGTCTGCCCAATGTTTCGGGGGCTCGGCATTATCTAGTCGTTGGGGGACGAATAGTTTCGGCCATTTGCGCCTTCGCACTTCGCACCATGCACCTTTTTCAAAGGGTAGGGGTACGAAGCAGAAGTGCATGGGTCTGAGAAAATGGATCTAGGATCCGATCCCACGGATCTTAATCTCAAATCCTCGGATCTTGCTACCTTAACCCTCGCATGTGTAGGGGGGTCGGATGGACCCCCCCCCCATGGTTTTTCGCGAATAACTCGCGTAAAAAGCGGCCGATCGCGATGAAACTTTCAGTACCCTCGCATTGATCAATTTTACACCTACCCTGAAAATTTCATGACCCTGACCCCAATGACCTTTGACCTGTGACCTCTTTTCCGAGACCATGTTTGGCCGGAATCGCGATTCCGCGTATGTCGGCTCGCATTAGCCGCGCGTTTGCAAGCTTTTCGCGGTTTCAAACGTTCAAACATGTGATTTGATGTTGCTCCCATGCATTAGGGTGGATGTCAGGGTCACCTGAAGGTCAGGTCAGGTCATTGACCTTTGGTGACCTCGGTTCACTTTTTCGAGTTTTACATGTTTCTAGGCTAGTTTTTGGAGCTGAATTCGAATTTAGCAACCATTTGAACATTTACGAAGTAGTTTTGGTGACTTCGTAACATGTTACGAAGCTGTTAGAGGCGGTTGACACGTAATACTAATACCCGTCATGACGCCTACTGGTTGACCTGACCTGACCTGACCCGACCTGGTCTAAATGCTTCAAGACATCATCTGTGATCAAAACTAACACGATATTCGTGATCAGCACCCCGAAAAACCCCTTAGCAGCCACACTTTACGACTTTCTAACAGGTCCCGATTTTCCCGACCTTGGGTCATTGACCTGACCTGGAAGGTCAACCAATGACCTAGGACCTTAAAAATGGGTATCATCGGCTTCCTCTCGTCACGGGCAACACGCTCGTTTTTTCCGCGAAGCTCTAGCTCGATCAGGGGCCAAACGGCAAGGGGGGGGGTCCAACCGACCCCCCCTACACATTAGAAGCTGGAAAACGCCGCACACATGCGAGGGTTAATTAAGCATTGCTGTGAACGATAAGACTATGTAGCATTTTGTATAAATTGTTCAGTTTTGTTTCACGGCAAGAAAAACGATCAAATTTCGTTAGTTTTTCGACGCTGCGGGAGGGACAAATAGGTAGTTAAAAAACGACCGCCCCACATTGAACCCGCCAGCGTATAGGTATTGACAGACGGCGCAGTCGGATGCCACGACTCCGGAGAGTTTAACTGAGCCCACTTACAACACCTTGATGTATTGTATAACCCTGCAGGTGCACTGTGCAATCTACATAGAACATGTGACTCCCATGTGTTACGGAGCCCGTCACCATGCCTTTATGTGGCCTGAAGGGCTTATTAAGGACACGTTCAGTCGAAATGTAACGATCACCATCTCGCGGGTGGTGGCGGTTGAAGAAGTGGTAAATAATGTTGATAGCTTCATTTCTACATAGGCCAGCGCGTATGCCTTGCGACAGTATTTTAGCTTTTACAAATCGTTACCCGTTAAAGACAGCTGTAGCCATCTGAGCTGCTCTCCCCGGTCGTTCTAATAGAGCCCAAAAACAATGAACATATTGACACTTATCTACCCACGCTGATGGAAGAAAGCCGTGCGTGGAGGGCGGGCAATTTACTGTGCCCGAGTTGCTTGCGAATGGGTGAAGCATATACGGTAATTTACTTATGTGTAGCATGCTCCTTATGATTTCCTTTATAGCCTTGCATAACTTTACGAAAAGTAGGTACGTCAGTAAAATCGTGATCTATGGGCAATCATTAACTACAGTTATTATTGAATATAAAGCTTGAAAAGGATTTATGAAGCTACGTGCTCCTTTTCCTGATACATATGCATAAATGTGCTCCGTAAGTCGTAACATGTAGCCTGTGAAGAGCAGAAAACTTAAATGTAATGCCCTAGTTACCTTACCAAAATTACACGGTAGATAAGCTAAAAGTCAGCATGCAGCACCCTACCTATATCCACTACATATACGCAATCCCTGCACAATACCTGTCCAGTGCCCATGCATAGTTAGCTGATTTATGTAGTGTCCTCCGTGCATTTTCCAAATATGACGTACAGTCTCTTTCAATGTGGTGCAAAGGTACACTACGAATTAGTCCACATTCACGTTGTCGGTATGTTAATTAACACTTGATGAATATTAATTGCTCTCCATCCCTTTGTCCGCCTTCGTTCGGCCCACCTGTGTCGGTGTTTCTCTTGGGGCCGTAGTGCTGCAGTCCGGTTATTTGGTATAGAGCGGTGAGGACGCCCACCCGCGAGCCTGCTCCTCGAGGCGAGCACACGTGACCCCGCCCCTCCGTCAGCACCGTCCACACCCCCTGTGTTCCGGCTGAATACAAATGGGCATCGATAGCAGGTGTTAGAACACGCTATACGCCACCCACAGCGACCGCTTACCTGTCACATGTTCAGCGCCGATGCGCTGTTTTCGTGAGAAACGCATCCTGGCATCGATATATTAAACAGCATCGATGCGCTCCATTACTTATATCTATTTAATGTTTAACATGCACAACCCGGGGTTGCAAACACTTGTGACTATGCTTGTGGCTTTGGCCGATAGTTGATTATGCATTTTTACACGGTTAACGTAAGCGTTCGAGGCGTAAAATTTCCCAATTAATTACTCGTATGTAACGTTTCGCTAGATCGTTTCGTCTAACCTTATTCTTACCTGACTGCTTACTGAGAAGTGAAAATGGATGAAGCGTTTACTACGTGGTCAACATTTTTGCCGGTGTCGGCCATTCGCCGTGCCCGCCAGTGAAGAGAGACGTGACGGGTCATTGGCGCCTCGTCATCGGAAATAATTTCAGTCGATTTAGCTATCAGCATCGGCCGCCTTTCATGTTCATTAGATCGGGGCGGGACAGATGATTACATGGTTTCCGAGGGAGGTCCATTAGACTTAGAGCATCCACTTGCGCAACCGAGCCCCGAATAGCGAATTGGTCGCGGTCAGTTCTTTGGCACTGATCGCGAGACGGGAGTGGTGAGTGGTCTCCGGACAGACATCGCCTCCCTCCCCTACCAGTCCGAGGTGCGGGGAGGTGTTTCGGACCACCCTCGGTGCCTGGAATGCCGATGACGTCGTCCCGCTACGACTCTATCGTCGGTAATGGCTTTAGGCGCGTGCGACGCCGCCAGGTGTTTCTGTCCGGTGCCGCCAGGTGGCAGGGGTGGCCTGGACGGGTCGGGGTAGCATGCGACACCTGGCGGGGCGGTATCTGTCAGCTGGGTCTACGTCTGGGGAAGGTGACAGCTCCAGCAGGGTAGGTAATTTGACTACCCATGCGATTCTGAAGGGAAGCTCTCGGGTGTTGAGGCGAGGCAGTTGCTCTGCCATAGACATTGCCACCTGGCGAGGCGGTGCCTCTGAGCTTGGCTTTGAGCTCAATACCTCTGCTTTCAGCTCTGCTTTGAGCACAATACCTCTGAGCTCAATTTGACTATCCACACGGTCAGAAGAGAGGGTAGGTACTAGTTTCTGCAGTAAGACACTGATCTGCCAGTGAGCACGGGTTTCGCGGTGAAGCGATGGCTGCTGATCATCTATCGATTGAGGTATAGGTACCCGAATCAAATTCGACCTCTCTATCCTCAGCATAAATCCCTCAGCTCGTTCTTTATCACAATGCCGTGTCTGGACTCACCGGTCAACCTGCCAGACCGTAGAGGTCAAACCCGAAACGAGCATACCCTCCGGATTGACGCACCTGAGCGCCTGGACGTATAGCTTGTCCAACCGAGACGCTATCGTCTTAATGGACTCGACCTATCCCCCTGAGCAAAATAAACGTTTAAAATACCCATGCAATTAACGGAAACCGCACCATCATGT